ATACAAAAATTTATGCCACCAGATAAAGACTGAATGCACCAATTATCACATTAAGCAAGAGGAAAAGCTTCCACCCACACTTTCTACAATTTTGTAAACAACAAACTAAAAGACTCAAGGTCCATCCCACTCCTGAAAGGACCTAATGGAAAAGACTGCAATGATGACACCATTAAAGCCAACCCCTTTAACACATTATCTGGCTCAGTATTTGTAAACAGCAATGGATCATACCCAGTATTTCCTAGCTGAACCACAGAAAACTACAATGATCTAATGCATATGGATTTTACAGAAGACAATGTTAAAAAAGCACTACGCAATCTAAAACCATCTCTATCTATTGGACCAGACGGAATATGTGCCTACTTCTTAAAAAAAACTATCCGCTGCCATAGCCAAACCTCTAAGCATAATCTTTGAAAAATCTTTCAGGACCAGCTCCCTTGCCAAAACTATGGTCACAAGCTATGGTCATCCCCATCTTCAAAAAGGGAGACCCCAGCCTAGTTGAAAATTACAGACCAATCTCCTTATGCTGCATCACCTCTAAAGTCATGGAATCAATTATTAACCAATCCATTATTCTCCACTTAGAGACAAACAACCTACCCTCCAATAAACAATTTGGTTTCAGAAAAAAACTATCATGTAATCTGCAACTCTTACACTGAAAAAACATATGGACTACACAACTTGATTAGGGTAAAGCAATAGACGCAATCTACATAGACTTCTGTAAAGCCTTTAATTCAGTGGTACACGACAAACTGCTCCTAAAACTCAAGTCTTATGGTATCTCTGGATACCTGCATAACTGGATAGAAGCATTCCTGTCAAACAAATGGTCAAAATTGGGAGTGTCCTATCAAATTCTGTACCTGTCAACAGTGGTGTCCCCCAAGGCAGTGTTCTAGCACCAACTCTCTTCATACTCTACATAAATGACCTCTGTGATCATATTAAGAGCAATTGTGCTCTCTTCACTGATGATGTAAAGCTATTCAACACCACCGACAATACTGCTACCCTTCAAAAAGACCTCGACTATGTATCAGAATGGTCAAACAAATGGCAACTTCAAATCTCAACAAATAAATGCTCTGTCTTACGTATTGGCAAAAAAATAAATAAATCAGAAAATAAAATACAAGCTGAATAGTCAAGACCTTGTTGATGATCCAAACTCTGTGAAAGACCTTGGAGTACTCATCTCTAATGATCTAAGTGCTAGAGCCCACTGTAACTACATAGCCAAAAAGGTATTAAGAGTTGTTAACCTAATCCTACGTAGCTTTTTCTCTGGTAATATCACACTACTAACTAGAGCATACAAAACATTTACTACACCAATACTCGAATACAGACCATCAGTCTGGAACCCACATTATGTATCTGATATTAGCACAGTTGAGAAAGTCCAGAAATATTTCACAAGAAATATTCTCCACTCCTCTACTTGTTGAAGAATACCTTATGCCACCAGACTTGAAATTCTAGATCTAGAAAATCTAGAACTATGCCGCCTTCGGTCCGATCTAAGTATAGAATATCAAATCATACATTGCAATGTCCTACCTGTCAATGAATACTTCAGCTTCAACCATAACAATACAAGAGCAAACAATAGATACAAACTCAAGGTTAATCGCACCAAACTTGATTGCAGGAAATATGACTTCAGCAACAGAGTGATCAATATCTGGAATACTCTACCTGACTCTGTGATTTCTTCTCCAAACCCCGAAAACTTTAACCTTAGACTTTCTACCATTGACCTCACCCTTTTCCTAAGAGGTCTGTAGGAGGTATGCATAAGCGCACCAACATGCCTACCGTCCCTGTCCTATTGTTTTTTTTTCATTTTTCTTATATGAATCCATTTCCTGTATTCATAACTGTGTTTATACTTATCCCTGTTATCTTATAATCACTTGACAAAATAAATAAATAAATAAAATAAACTTCCACTGAGATGTACACCATCCCCCTACACACTCTGACCTTACTTAAATGAGTTTTTAAAACCTGGCTCTAGACCCAGGCCCACCTGGATGATAGCGGGTAATGGATTCTTTGTACCATATTGATATTTCCCCCCAGATGTTAACTTTTGAAGACATAATTATGCATTTTTACAATACTTTATTATTGCAATTTGTAAGCCACCTAGAGAAATCAATAAAAAGGCATGGTTCCTTTAAGGCAAGGGTCTTCAAACTTGGCAAGTTTAAGACTTGTGGACTTCAACTCCCAGAATTCCTGAGCTAACATGACTGGAGGAGGAATTCTGGGAGTTGAAGTCCACAAGTGTTAAAGCTGTCAAGTTTGAAGACCACTGCTTTAAGGTGTGGAGGAAGAGTACTTTGTTCACCTGTTTTTCAAAAGGTAGCTTAAAATACAGGATACCGTGTTTCTCCAACAATACCGCCTCCCCCAATAGGAAGTCCCAGCATGTTTTATAGGCATCAAATCAAATTAAGCCCCTCCCCCTAAATTAAGACCTATATTAAACATGCAAAATAGGGAGGAATGGTGGCGGCGGGGGGGTTGCCATTAGGAAGTACTTCTGTTGCATACCCGGATATGGTGCTGCCTGCATTGACTTCGGCGTTGGTGGAGTACTTCGTTTCGGGAGACCTTCCGCCACCATTGCTTTCCCTTCTCCCCATGCTGCCGGCATTTCGCACAGCCACGTGCGGCCAGCCAGGGCTCCTCCCTGCAACCGGAGCCCGGTGGAGACACTCGGCTTCAGGTGCTCCTGTCGCGGCCTTCCCTTCGCCTTTGAAGGCAAAGCCAATTCTTTTAAAAATGCCTTCTCACTGCGTCCCTGGCCGGCAGGTCCGGCGGAGAGAGCCCAAAGCCGCCTGTCCTTTCCACCCCTCGCCCAGCCCGTCCCTGTCCCCATGCATCTCCAAATTCACCGGCAGCTCCAAACGCTGCAGTAGCATGGGCATCGGGCAGAGGCACTCACTCGGTAGGGCTCAGCTCGGAGGCGGACAAAGTGCAGGCCATCGCCTTGCCTCCCTTTCCATGGATGGGTGGGCACTATCACTGCCTCGGGCGGCCTCTCCTGGTGGCCCCTTCAGGTTTGGGCTGGAGGGCCTTGGGAAGGAAGCCAATCTCGGGTTGGCCCGGCTCTTTTGGTTGGCAGGCGGGCGCGCACCCGCGGCTCGCTTTCCTGACTCTGCCCAGCCCGCATGGCTCTGGCACGGCCCTAGTGGGATGAGTGGAGGGCCCGGCAGGGAGGCGCTCGCTGCCTTGGCAAGAGCTCCGCCGCCAGGCAGGAGGACCCGCCTGTCCGCTGCGCTGGGCGCCCCAGGCAAAGCTCTTCACACTCTGCCCGGTGCCAGGCAGGGATGGCGGCTGGGCGCTTCTTCCAGGGTGGGCCGATCCTGCGCTGCGGCCCTGGGAGATTTGCCTCCCCACATAGGGTTGGGCTGCCCTCTCGGGCAGGGGAGGCTTTGTCGTACCGGTAGTAGGGCGTCATTTTTAAAAGAATTGGCTTTGCCTTTGAAGGCAAAGGGAAGGCGGCGACAGGAGTGCCTGAAGCCAAGTGTCTCCACCGGGCTCCGGTTGCAGGGAGGAACTCTGGCTGGCCATGCGTGGCTGCACCAAACACTGTGGCGTTGCTCTAAATGCCGCGGCAGCATGGGGAGAAGGGAAAGCAACGGTGGTTGAAGATCTCCTGATATGAAGTGCTCCACAAACGCCAAGGTCAACATCCAAGCCGTCGCCACCCGCCCGCCAGAGAATGCAAGGGGGGGGGAATTAAGTCACCCCCAAAAAGACGGCCTAGCCATTTTTTCGGGGGTCAAAAAAAAAAAAAAAGGCCCGGCCTTATTTTGTGAGAAACACAGTAGTATCATAGCTCTAGATAAAATAGCATAACTTTCCCATGTCTAGTATGTAATGTAATGTAATGTAATGTAATGGAATGGAATGGAATGAAATGGAATGGAATGGAATGGAATAGAATAGAATAGAATAGAATAGAATAGAATAGAATAGAATAGAATAGAATAGAATAGAATAGAAT